CAGGGTTCGTTTCTTCACGTCACTGGAACTGTCACTGGATCTTCTGCACTTTTTCTTCACACTCCCAAGGCGTGGGGCCCAAGTCAAGCAGGCCTGGCCTCATGCTTGCGAAGACCACAAAGTTGCTGAGTGTGATCAAAGCCATGTGCTTAAGCATGACAACTTGTCATGTCACAAGTGTGGGTCTTTTGCATGGCATGACTGTGTATGAAGGTTCACTTCTGATCTCAAAGCGTTGGGCAGACTGGACTGGATGCGTCCGTGTTCCCTGCAAATAAAGACATGTACTTTATATGTCCTTGCACAACAGTGTCAGGATTATTGTTTCGGTTCCCTGTATGCTTTCGCTGACGGGATTACCACCAGTCTGCACGAACCCCTACAATCCAACTCACACATCAAAATTGTTCAGAATGCATGAACATGCTACCTGTTGTCTTTTTAGGACACTGGCTTAGGACATCATGACTTGTGACTTGGGGGAAAAAACACGAAAAAAAAAAACACCTCAACCGCTCCAAACCCGAGGCGCGGCCGACGCTTCAAACGCTGGAACTCACCCGTCGTCCACGTCCCGAGTCCCTGGGAGCCCCCGACCAGTTGAAGCCTCGGTTCAGGGCCACGAAGGCCACGTGATCGATGCCTCGGAATGAGTGAGATCCACGAAGGATGGAAGGGACAAAGAAGTTATATATATATATATGGATATACTGAGGACCAATGACTTAGGACTTGTTGGTACTTGTTGGTATAAAAGGATGGCACATAGGATGGGATGCTAGATCTGGTGGGGGCCGCTCTCGCGTTCGTAGGTTGGAGGCCATCGCTACTAGTAACAAGGACGCTACTAGTATCAAGGATAGAAAAGAGTTTATATATATAACTATATGGGTACAACGTCCCTCAGACCCTGTGGACGGCAGCAGCATGGTCGGCAAAAACGCCTTGGAATTCCGATCAAAATTGAAAAAACTGTGAAACTGGGGTCGTCCGAAACTAATGACTTCGACATCCGACGACGCACACTTTCTCTTTCAGCGCAATTTGCAGGCAGCAGCTAGCTGCTTCAGCATCTCATCAGGTGTGAGATCTGTGGTAACCTTCAGGTTTCGGCGCCACAGCCATTGGTACACTCTTAACTTCAACACAGCTTAGCGTGGAGCCGACACCTGCTTAGCAAAAACTTTTCTCTGATGGCTGACTTGCACTATCGGCACCTTCAAGTCTTTGGCAATTTTCTGCCACGAGAGCGCCCCGTCAGCATACAAAGCAGGTTTGGCTGCACACAAGGATCATCTTGGAACAGGTCCGCTTCGGACTCCAATGAGGAATCTGCAATGAGGAATCTTCCAATTCTCGTTTGCGCTGCATTTGTCCGCGTAGAGATCACGACTCAAAGGAGTCAAAGGTTGATCGTAGTCGTAGTCATGTTGATCTTCCCAAGAGCAAGGAGACAATGGTTCCTGAATGTGGTTTCCGTGTCATCGTTGCAATCATGTTCTTAGGCTATTCTTCTTCCAACGAGACGTGGAACAAAAGCAAATGCCAACCCTTGAACACTGCAAAAGTCCTTCATAGCAATTCCACGACCATCATGCGGATAGCGTGCAACGTCCACACTACAGGGGAGAATGAAAAAAGTTTGGGAAAAGAGAACTTAAGACATCAAGTGGCCAGTATTGGCCGTCGTTGCGGAGGCGTTGCAGGGGCTGAAGTAAATGGCCTAGAAGGACTGTGAGAGACTAGCTTCCTCAGATCAAATGAAACAAAGTGTGGTGTCGAGGCTTGCACATACGACTTTTGTCGCCATTAAAAGTCTCCATGTAAGAGCACATGTCAATAGCACCCCACCCCACCCCACCCCACCCCATCCATCGCGTAGCATCTGCTACCTTAAACAACTGCTCGTAACGCCAAGTTGCAGAAACGGAGTTCCCGCATCCATGCGCCGACGCAGCGTCATCAAAGCGGCTGCTACAGATCCATCTCGTGATCCATTGCCGTCGCAGAAACTGAACGCATGTTGACATCCTTTTCATGAATGTGTGCAAGTGGTTGAGATTCAAGTTGCACAAAACAAAAACATCTATTTCGTTTCTCCTGCTTCTATTTCATCTGTCCGGGTAAAGGATACCTGCCTACCTGGGCCTTGATGCCACGACGCCGACGTGCAAGAGAAAAGAAAAGCCCGATCGCGTCATGGCTCACAGGCCCCTGAAGACGTTTTAGGCAACTATATACCCCAGAAGTGAAGGGACATATACCCTATATATTATTTTGTGGGTTCCCCTCTATCTCTGTTGTCACAATCCGTACTGGTTCTGAACTATGTTGTTGGTGTTGTGGAAACTGGTATTGTAAAGATCTATTTTAAGGCCAATGTTGGAATAGGTCCCTGTTAAGGTCCATGTTGTGGTCAATGTTGTGGGAAGAGTCTTCTAAATGACTGCCTATGTAAGGCCAGGAGCCCCGGAACTCGTAGCTTCTTGAGTCCCATGACCGTGGCCGAGGGTCCAAGCCCTCTCGGCTGACCGGTTCCAACGGCGGATGGACCACGCCCAGGTCGCCCGCACTGAAGGCCGCATGCCCCAGTTGATCGGACCACGTCTGTACTCGATGGATGGCCTCCCAAGATAGGTTTCAGTGACCTCTGAAGACCATAACTGGGTACCTATTGATTAGATATAGTCTATAGTCTATTAGGGTTCTGAAAGCCTCTGTTGGCCGTCTTCAACCTCTGGGTCGGAAGACGAAGGCCATGGGATTTCGCAGGGCTTTTCTTCACACCAGGGTAGCAAGTGTCAAAGACCTCCGTTGTAGTCGTAGTTCAGTAACCCGCATGGAGAAACATAAAGGGCTGTTGAATGCTAATGTCTGGCAAGAAGTAGCCTGGCAGAATGACAAAGATCGATATATATAAGAATATGAATGCACCTGTCCTAATGAGGTCCCTTGTTTGCTAAACTAGCCCATGAAAGGGACACTCACTGGGTTCTGCGGTTGTTGCAATCCTGCGCCTCTTCTGCGCTTGTGGTTTCTCCCTTCTCAAGCTATATATAGTTTGGACTTCTCACCTGGCCTGGCCCCCCAAGAATTCTTGTCAAATCGACTCAAGAGTCCTCGTAAGTGCCCCGAGTCCTCTGAAGTGACCATTGGGTCTCAGGTTCGCCATGTGCATGGCTCGTTGCAGGAAGAGATCTCAAGAACCTGAGAGGATTCCTTCTGAAGAAAATACTTTTGCTCCAAGCAAAAGCTGTTGGAAAGAATCAATATTAATCAATGCTACTCTGCCTTTTTGCTCCACATCCCGCCCCCCCACGTCCCAAAGAATCCTGTCATTCCCCAAAATGCATCGTCGTTCCGTCCCCTTCCGGGGCCTCTCGGTCGGGTCTTAAGAGCCGCCGGAGGCGAACCAAGCCGGACACACCCTGGGAGGAGACAGGGAGGAGACACTAAAGTACTAACTACCCTTTCACATCCACATCCTATGGCCTCCAACCTACTAGCCATGGCCTCCAACCTACTAGCCATGGCCTCCATCTGGAGAGCTTCTGTGCACAGAGACACTGGAGTTGGTGTCTGAAGACGGTGCAGTGACATTTCGCCACCCATGTGTCAGTTGTGTCAGTCGGACGAAAATACCCGGCAATCGGAAGGTGCCTGGTAAACTGAAGCTCCTGATTGAAGGGAGGCCTTTCCATGTGAATGTTGGAAACCACCCCGTGTAGGGTAATTGCGTTGTTCATCCACACAGAAAGCTGGACCGTCCAAACGGCTTGGTACGTCGCTTTGCATCGTGCCTGCCAGCGGTGCTCGCAGACCTTAGAAGAAAACGGGCCGAAGTCTTAGTGGTTGATGGTAAACAAATGGTGTCTGTTCTTATACTTTAGCATGCTTATTTCACATTAGTTATCTTTGATCACTTTGATCATTGTTTCTGCTATTGCTCTGATGCTCCATTTAGATAAGCTTAAATCGTCGCTCACCCAACAGGACGAATGACGTACATCTCTTGACTGTAAATTTCTAACAGCATGCACAGTCAGGGGGAATTGGGAAGCCTCTTTGCGTATTTCATGCACGCATCAATGTGTCCTCTACTGCACACGGAATAGGAAGGAGCACCGGAGCACCATCGGACCCTCCAATGACGTTCAATCCGTAGAGCAGGCTTGGATACCATGCATGGCTTCTCAAGACATCTTCGGCCACAAATCCTACAGGCGTGCTGCTAGCCCTTAGTTATCCAATTAAGGGTGGACCGTTCCACTAAATGCCTAAGTACTTTTTCTACTAAGGGTGGACCGTGCTGCGCCCACTCCGCGACCGTCTACTCGGCGACCGGACCCAGGGATTCACCACGTCCTACGGCAAACAGGATGAGACGCGACGCGAGGAAGGCGGGACCCGGTTCCCTTGGATTTGCTGGGTCCATGCTGTAGGAAAAGCATGGTCCATGGCGTTCTCAGGTCCATGTTTGTGTCGGTCATTTTGTTACACAAGAGTGAGAACACGACCCCGGTCCCATCGCAGCTGGTTCACTGATCCGGCCTCCATCCAAAGCTATAGATAGTTGAAACTGTGTTCATCTGTTTTCAAGATATCTCTGATGTGTGTTGCGATCTTTGACATATCGATCTGTTCCACCCGCCGGTTCAGCAGCTTTGTTTGGGTTCCAAGTTCGGGGCGGTCTTCGTCCAGCCCAGCGCGTATAGCCGAAGCACCGAGTTCGGCACCGAACTCGGTGCTTCTGGTCCAGCTCGGGGCAGCTGGTGCAAAATAGGTTGGCCAGAATTCCACAGATACCTCATGATATCTCTACATCTTCACCAACAGAATTCCAGAATTCTACATCTTTGTCACCAACCACATATACTTCTACTTTTCTACTCAATGATGCTAGACATCAGTGGGAAGTGTAGAGGTCCATCCCAAATGTTCGAGCGCCAAAACCTGACTTCTCCACCCTCTCCTTGTCGTATCTCTTTGTAACTGGAGAGCTCGTTGGTGTCGAGCGGCATCCCCTGAGACACACGAAGGCGAAGCATGGCGAAGCTCTTGAAGGGACGGTGAAAAAGTTGCCGTTCTTTGAACAACATATATATATATATTCTATATGTATATACCTTGGATCTATCATGGTCTATCCTATTGCTATTAACAGTGGATGATGATGGTTACTAAATGGTCTTGTTCTAAAATAGTGATAATTGCGTAATTACCGACTGTTACAGGTAAGACCGGACAAACCCACTCTATACCGGATTCAAAAGGGTCAATCATTTCCTAGTGAATTCGCCATAATTACTAATTATATACTACTGGTTAAGAATGTCTTCCCACAGATCCGTCACACTGGTTGAGCACACTTTGGAGTAGTGATGACTGGTTGGCTGTCATTTCCACATGCTTCTCGAAATCCGATCGGAAGGTGTTAACATGTGTTCAGAGGGAGAAGAAAAACAACGTGACGCAACATGGTCCAGTTGCAAAGGTGTACATCTCCCCATGGATCAAGAGATCCGAACATTCCAGGGTTAAAAAGGTTGTACTTGGGGGAGTTCTCTTGTTGCACCCACCAATATATACTGTATATAGGGTATATAAGAATTGGGTTCATGTTACATGTTATAGTTATATATATATATTAATATATAAACATGACACCTATATATATATGAATGAAATCATCTGGTTTAGGATCCCACATGGGATTAGGATCCAACTTGTCGACGTGAACATGTTGATTCATGGGAGTGGTGAACAAACATGGGTCGAAACTCGAAACAAAACAACACACGCCCAGCAGCAGGTGTCCATGTGATCCCTGGATGTGGGAGGTAACTTCTAGCCATAGCCGCGGGTGTTCAGTTGGATCAAATTTCCATGAGCTCGCCCTTGGCTAGTCACCACAGAATCATAAATTCCACACTTGCTTTGTCTCCAAACTGCCTGTCACCCCTTTAGCCAACCAGACAGTTTCTCTGGCCCATCGCCTCTCATCACCAGCACCGGGGGGGGAAGGCACCTGACAATTGACCTTCTGCTTCAGACTTGGTCGCAGCACTAAGTGCCCAGCTTTAAGGGAGAGCTCGGACGATCCCGCGCAGAGCCGTTGCGCACCCCAGGTGGACCCTGATCGAAGTCCTCAAAGGCCTTAGAGTCCCGAAATCCGGGCGAGTGGGGCGTTGGGTGGTTGCTACCTGGTCAACCCCTACAAACCTGGGAGCCTTGGATGACCTGGGAGC